AGTAGTTGAGTGATCCTATGTTCAATTCCTATTAGGTACTACAAAAAAAAAAAAAAGGAGAAGAAGAAAATCTGTGTATAAGATAGATAATAGAGAAATAGGTGGAAATATGGGTATACATATATTTATAAACATATATTGTCCTGTTAAAATATTGCTTATGAATGTACTTCTTTTACTGATTATACCTCTTAGTTTATGAACTTCAATGGCTTAGGTTTTTGTTGTTGTTTTGTTCTTTGTTTTCAAAGTGCTGGGGATTAAACCCAGGATTTTGCATTTGTTAGGCAAGCACTCTACCACTGAGCTATATCCCCAGCCTCTAATAGCTTGTTGTTAAAATGGATTCTTTTACTTCCAATGTAAAAAAAAAGAAAGAAGGAAGGAAAAGAAAGAAAGAGAGAGAGAGGAACAAAAAATATATATAAGCAAATATTGAGGAAAACAAGTAAAGAGGGTTTTGGCATAACTAGGGACATGGAAAGGCCCCAAAGTCCATTGGATAACTATAAAATCTACTTTAAAAGCAATAGGTTCTATCCAGCTTCAATACAATCCCCAACAAAATACCAATGACATTCTTCACAGAATTAGAAAACACAATCCTAAAATGAATTTGGAAGAACAAATGACCCAGAATAGCCTAAACAATTCTAAGGCTAGAACACAGCTGAAATCATCACAATACCAGATTTTTAATTATACTACAGAGTTATAGTAAAAAAAAAATAAAAAATAAGAAATAAATAAAAATTTAAATAACATGATAACATGATACTGGCATAGACACAGACACAGACTAATAAAATAAAATAAAAAAGAAAACTCGGTCAAACACAGATACAACAATTTGATCCTCAAAATAGTCAGCAAAAATATACATTGCAAAAAACAGCTTTTTTTTTTCTTTTTACAAGTAGTGCTGGGAAAACTGGTTATCCATATGCAAAAGAATGAGACTAGTTTTTTTTAATCTCTCTCCCTGCACAAACTTCAACTCAAAATGAATCAATGAGGTAGGAATTAGACCAGAAACTTTGTGACTCCTAGAAAAACCATAGGGTCAACACTCTCAAAATATAGGCAGAGGCAATGACTCAATAGGACTCCTAAAGCTTAGAAATAATACCAATAATTAATAGATGAGATAAAATCAAATTAAAAATCTCCTGACCAACAAAGGAAACAATTAAGAATGTGAAGAAATAACCTACAGAACAGGTAAGAAATTTTTGCTCTTTATTTTTCTGACAAAAAATTAGTATCCAGAATGATGAAATCAAAAACTTAACATCAAAAAAAAAAAAAGAAAGAAAAAGAAAGAACCCAGTTAATAAATGGGTAAATAAAGTAAATAGACACTTCCAAAAAGAAGAAATATAAATGGCCAACAAATATATGAAAATATGTTCAACATCTTTAGCAATCAAAGAATCAAAGAATTGCAAATAAAAACTACAGTAGGATTTTTTATCTCATTTTAGTTAGGATGAGAGGAATCAAGAATACAAGAAGTAATAAATACTGGTTAGGATGTGGGGACAAAAAAGAACATTTTTATACTCTTGATGGAATTTTAAATTAGTGCAGCACTATTAAAATTAGTATGGAGTTTTCTCAAAAGAGTAGAAATGGAATCATCATATGTCCCAGATATACCAGAATTAAAGTATACAGAATTAAAATCAACATAATATTAGCAACACAGGGATACTCATGTTTGTAGCAGTACAATTAACAATAGCCAAATTATGAAAGTAGTCTAGATTTCCATCAAGGAATGGCTAAACAAAATGTGGTATATATACACAATGGAGTTTTACTCAGTCATAAATAAGAATGAAATTATGTCATTTGCAGGAAATTTATGGAATTTAAAAGCATTTTGTTAAATAAATAGTTTACAAATGAGAAACTTAAGTCTTGGATGGGCTGGTTCTTATGTATGGGAAATACTTTGGAACCAAGTTCAATACCCTCCACAACTTCTTTCTTTTCCATGCATCATTGAAGTCTCTTTGTTTGCCAGGGAGAATTGGTAGAAATACCATTGAATACTCCCCTTGGCCACACAAGGTATGCCTTCAGGTATGCTTGAGCTTTACTGAAGGCGCCATCCCTCTTTTCAGATTCCAGTTCTCACAGTTGCAAAGAATAGCAGTTTCTCCCCACTCTCAAGGACTGCTTTTTTCTCACTTGGGAAGAGTCAGGCCTTCTAAAGAAAAACAAATACAAAAGTGACATGTAAAACAAAGTATAAACTCACACAACACATTCAGCAGTGATTTGTTTTTTAACAAACATTTGAGTGGATGCATTATTGAATTATCAGGCCAAATACAAGGCATCTTAGAACTATGCATGTAATGGAGAAAGACAGATACAAATATTTTTTTTTACAATAAGCATATTTTATACAATGCTATAAGTTGATCACTAAGAAAAAAAAATAGAACAGAATACTGGAGATTGTATGTGAGTAAGGAGATGCAATCTTAAACAGTGTGGTTGAATAAACAAGGTCTTGTGTCATGTGGGAAGGGAGCAGTGTTGGTAGGGGAACAAAAATACTGAGAATCTGTGTGAAGAATACACATAAAGCTTTTGAAGGAGCATTAGGAGGTCAATGAAACTGCAACAGGAGAGTTATCAACAGTGAGAAGATGAAGTTAAACAGGTAAAAGGGAAGCTGCCATTCATCGTGCTGAGGGACTATGATGTTAAAGATCACAAAATAATGGTTTACAGGGAACATAATGTTTCTATCAGTGAATTTTTACATTTTTATGCTCTCTGGAGTCCACTTAGGATGTCAAATTATAACCACAATTTTACTTAATACAGGTTTAGGAAGAAAAAAAGCTTTAATGTAATCTTGAAGATATTTTCTGTTGTTAAATTGAGACTCTGCCTTCTGAGAGGAGGACATTTGAACAAGAGAGAACAGTATCTTTTTGTCAAGTCTCCTTGTCTCCAAACAATGGATTCCTCCTTTCCCATTCCCTCTTAACATGTGGCCTCCAACCTGTGCTTTTTTTTTTTTTTTCATAAATTGATCATTTCTTTGTCACTAAAAGTTTTAACACTGACTTATCAGCATTGTACATGAATATAGAAACAGACATTTCACTCAGCTTTTTAATTGGAAGAAGAACGCTTTTGGAAACACCTAAATGAAATTAAACATAATTTAAGTGAGGAATTTTTTACCAGGAGAATGAGTGCAGTTGAATGTTAAATATATCCCAGACATCAGGAGAGTAGGTTTCAATACATTTTTACTATATTGCCTCAAAGAACTCATGATGCACTAATAAATAATTTTCATTTATAGATAGAAGTTTGATTGATTAGTGTGCCTGTACTAATTATTATTTTCACAAATATATGCTCCTGTGAAGGAACATTCATTTATTTTCATCCCTTTTAGGTTGACAGTCATATGATTTTGTTAGGTCACTGGAATGTAGGTAGGAGATTTAAAAACCATCCATGTTGCATTGACTAAACCAAGTCACATGACTAAGCCCAACATAAATGTGATAGGAAGTGCCCTTTTACTTCTTGAACAATTATGCCAGTATCCCAGATAGAGTATACCCCATTAACCTTGGCCCAGAGTGAAGACATTAGGAAGTATCATCTGTAGCTTACCATAGTCATACAGGCTAGTGGAATATAAATCTGTGAGTCATAAATATGAAATTTGTGTACCTGATGGATAGCAAATGGTCTATGTGTCAGTTATTATCATATTCCTCATCTTAATAAGCTTTTCTTTATTCCCAAGTAGATTTATATGCTTGGCTGCAAGAACCATGTTTCTTTGATTTGCTTATTTTGTTTTGTTTCATTTTGGTGGGGATTAAACCCTGGACCTGGGGCATTCTAGGGAAGTACTCTACCATGGAGCTACAGTCCAACTCAGGTGCCATGGCTTTTGGTTAGTATCTACTGTATTACTCAGAACACCCATGTGTGCACATATCACCATAGTGCCAGGGTAGGTAATTCAAAATACTAATTTGAAGCCCAGGTCAGAAAAAAAAAAAAACATGATTTGAAATCTGATCTTTCCATAAAGTGATCTGAAAGCTTTATTTAAACTCTCTAAACCCTTATTTACTCACCAATAAGTTAGAGGTTAATGAGATCCGACTTCAGGATTCATGAGCTTTAAGATAATATGCCTTTAGCACAAAGCCCAGTACATCAATCAATGACAATTTTTATTAGTAGATGCTCAGTACAAATGAAAACAAAGGGCAAAGGGATTATTTTTACCATATTACAATGATTTTCCACTTTTTCTAATATTCCAAAAATGTGAAACAAAACACAATCTTGTTTTCCATTTAGGTTGCTTGTTTTGTCCTGTAGATGTTTCCTATATATTAATATTTTCTCTCTAAGAGCACATCTGGGATAACAGGGTGTGTATATGTGTGTGTGTGTGTGAGCACGCACAGAGGGTGGCATGTGTCATTAATTAATAAATATTCACAACTTGGTCTTTGAAAACCACAGGTGTTCAGCCAAATCCAGGTTTTATTTAGAAATCTCAGAAAACCCACTAATAGACTTATCAAGACAAAATTTACAACACTTCAAACTCTTTCCTAATCCCTGTGGGAAAGAAATGTTTGGCTATCAAGGGCTATTTCAAAACATCATATAAATTAGTATTCACAGTGACAGTTGGATATAATTCATTAGTTCACTAATAGTATCAACAAATAACTTCTTACAGTAAAAACAAACATCCTAAAGCAGATTAAGCTTGTGTTTTATTTTTTTTCTCATTCATATTAAATTAGTAGTCTCGAGATTTCATAAATTCAAACATGCTTAACCTTGAAAAATGTTTTCCTTTGCCATAGGATGTCAAATTGTCCCTATAGAGAAAGGGTTTGATTTGGGGGTGATATTTACCACAGTGAACAAATTTTGGAGTTTTGCATTTAAGTGGTTTCATCTTTGTCTTGTCTGTTCTAACGTAGGCATTGATTGTGAAGTAAATATAGATGAATGCCAATCAGAGCCCTGTCTCCATGAAGGAGCTTGTATTGATGGCATCAATCATTATATCTGTGCCTGCAAGAGTGGGTTTTTTGGAATGCACTGTGAAAGAAATGCAAATGATTGCCTCTCAAATCCTTGTCTACATGGAAGGTAGCTATATTTATTTTTTTTCTATTATTAACTGTATGAAAGTATATTTAACCCACAATATTTAAGACTAACTGTCAAGGGAAACTTGATAAAGATAATTTTAATTATGCTCTTTCATAAAACAAGAGCTTAGTACAGTTAAGATGACAGATGCTGCCTGTTTTAGCTAATGCAATGTACTGATACATTATCTCTGCCCTTCTTTTATTTCTGTTCATTAGCATAAAGTAATTTTCAATAAATGTGGATTAATTAGACTTTAATATGCTTAAAGGTAACTGCTCACAGTAATAGAAATAGCAGGTAGGATGATGTGACATTCTATTATTTGTTCTGTGGAAAGATAATACAGCATACATAGTGTTTAAAATGTTCCTAAGTAGACTGGTTCTTTTATCCCTATGTGCATGAAAGGTATTTTGTGACTCTATGGAACTGTGTGACAACTCAACTGTCCACAGAAAGAATATTAGCATATAAATATTGAGAACAGGGATATTTGTAGGAAAAGCAGGTGGCAAAAGAAGACTATCTCAGAGGCACCATGCTGTCAGCTGCAGCATTATTTTGTTTTTCTAGTCCTGCTACTGATTTTGTAAGCAGAAAAGGGAGGATTAAGGTGAGTAGCTTATTGCAGTGTAGTTTGGCCATAGCTGACTTCAGTTTCCTACATAAGCCCCAGACACACTTTATATCTTTCAGAACTGTTCCTTCTTTCCATTGCCGTGGGGAAGATGGCAAAAATGAAAATTGATCAGTTCTTTCAGTTCAGTCACCTTCAAGGATAAAAAATCAGGAATAGACTCTGCTTTCTACTCCACATGGAATAGATAGAAATGCAGTGTGTTTATTTTTTTTCCACTTAAACTAGAAATGAAAAAAATGAAAATGGTGAAGCTTTCTCAAACTATGTTTTTCAATGTTTACTTATTTAAAACTTTAATTTTAATTCTGTGTTCCAGGTGCATAGATCTCCTTAATAAATATCAATGTTCATGCGATGCTGAGTGGACTGGCACAAGATGTGAGGTCAAGATTAATGTAAGTTTATACTTTTATTAAATTTAAATGATAAAACATAAAAATCAAACTACTAATTGAACATTTCTTCCACAATTACTGAGTATTTAACTACTCTCTCCCCCTTCCTCTATGGAATTTCTCAGTTTCCTTAAAAAAAAACCGAAAACTACAAATAAGAGATTCTTTTAATGTTTTTCATCTTCACATCATATTATCATAAAATTTTGCAATCTGGAGCCCTCCTTAAACTAAATCCTGGAAGTGGCCATTATCTTCAGGATCTCAGATGGCTTATATTTTCCATCTGCCACCTTCTCCCTTATCTTAGGACACAGAGCTCTCTATGGATCTATAAGATGAGGCAGGGCCAAGTTCATCCAGACACCACAAGGAGGAAATAAAACTGAGCCAAGAAGTGGGTAACACCTGGAATAATCTCAGAATCAGAATTGGTCTTCCAAATTTCAGAAATCAGGTGATATAATTGATACATAGTATTTTATGTGGAAAACCTTTTTCTGTTGAGAAATCTTGGTTGCAAGAAATGATAACCATCAGATCTTGGCAGATGGCAATCATGTGAGGCTTCCTGGAATAATGGGTAGGGCTTCCAAAGCTGCCTTGTCTGACAGTGACATGGCAAAGGAAGCAAGTATAGACAAACCAGAACTTTATGGTTTATGCAACAGTGGGTATTTTCTTTAAGTCATTTGTGTCTCTCCTCTCATTAGTCAAACATAGCTATAATGATTCCTGCATGAAAGGGTCATTGTGGGAAGGTGCACATTAGAGATGGGAGATACTTAGAAAATGGCCCTTTCTCAGGGAGTGAGGGGGTGATTAGAGGTATTCAGCGAGAATTGGAACTGAATCTCTATGTACCTAGTTACCTGCTGTGTTTTCTTTGTTAGACAAATTAGTTATGTTCTGAAATCATATTTTAGTTATTCAGTGAGGGTAATAACAGAAACTAGTTTTTTTTTTTTTATTCTCAGGAGGATTAAATAAGATAATGCAAGTGAATTGATTACCACATTTTTGGAGATGCATTGATTTTAAAAGGCTTAATTATCTATTGACATTTTATTACTTGGTTCTAGACAGTGAAAGATGCTCCTGATGTGGAAAAGGAAATGTTATTAATAAATTCCCCATACATCTTCTTTGCCTTACTGCAAATATTGCTTTCTTACTCAAAAACTGTATTTCTTGGGAATATAAGTACCCCATTCTTCTTTGTGAATTAAAAATAGCATTTAATAAATATTTTCTTTGATATAATAATGTCTACAAGAATTTGTACATAAATACACATTCAAATTTTTGAGGACAATTCATATTCTTACTATGTGCATCTAGATGCTTTTTCCTTATATTTTTATTCATTATCTTCATTGCTCAATAACTTGTTATGTCTTAAGAACCATTCCATTAAAATGCACAGGGCCTTTACTCATTCTCTTCAATAGCTACTGAGTATACTAAATAAATGTTAAACAACCACATTGTTTAATGAGAATTTGAGCATGCCAGCTTCCCAAGGTCCTACTAAATGAAGTCATTTTTTTTAAAGTGTTGCCTAATTTGAAGAAGAAAACATAGCATGTCATTATTTTAATTTACATTCTCCTAGGTAGCTACCAATATTAATCATCCTTCCATGTGATTACTTACCATTTGTATTTGTGTTTTATCTACTTATAATTGTTGGCTGGCAGTATTTGCATTTTTTGGCTTGCTTATTACCCTTTTCTTTTTGGTTTGTATGTATTATTTTAAATCATGGCTAGTGTCCACTAGGTTCTGAAAAATTACAAATATTTTTTAGAATTTAGAAATTATTGCTTTTTACAACTTGTAAATTGTGAAATGTCCATAATTGTATTTACGTTTCTTTTTTGACTGGCTTTTGCATCTCATCTTTTCGTGTAGCAATATTTAAGATAGTTTCTTATATTTTTATCTACTAAATTTTAGGATTAACAATAGTTTTAGTGCCTTAGCATGTATAAAATATATTGTTATGATTGATAAAATATAGAGACCTAATTATATAATTTAAAGTTTTGTGGGTTTTTTTTTCCCCAAAGGCATAATCAATTTTCCCAACAACATTTATCAAAGGGCTTGTTGTTTCTCTTTTGATTCAGGGTGACTCCTATTTCCTGCTATAAATCTCTACATTTGGGACAGTTTGGGGATTATCCTGTTTCTTTACTTTTTTGTCTCACTACAAACATGTACCATCTGTATTAATTATCATAGTGCAATGAAGTTTCTTAAATTTGTCACTTTTTTCTCAATTACATTTATTATACTCTAATTAAAATTTTGTTCATTCATTTTACAAATATTGAATACTTATGAGAAGCCAAGAAAAAATAATTATTAGACACATTTTCTGCCCCACCAGCTGCAAAGTAAACTATCATCTATCTTACATATTTCCTGACCTATTTATTTACCTATGTCATATAATCCAGATAGCCTTTGAAGGACATTTGGAGATTAGTGTCCACATCTGTCTTTCTAGGATAAAGAGACAAGAGCTGTGGAAAAACAGTATAGCTGAGGAAAAGATAGCTGAGGTCAATATGGGGAGAGTGTTATATGTAAAACTCTTTGGGAAGTAAAAAAAAAAAAAAGCTTAGTTTATATTAATTACTAGGGGCTTGATGGAGGAAAATTTGAGCAAACTTTTTTTAATTCATAAAGTTGAAAATTGGAGGCAAGGATTAAAAATTATAATTGATGCTAGAGAAAAACAAATACATGGCTGGATATGAATGAATGCCAAGGCTAGTGAAAAATTATAATTAGTGTTTTATGTATGCACACATGCACATACACACATATGGAAAAAAAAAGAGAGTCGGGGTATAGAGAGTAGATATTTTCCTTTCAATGTGGATGGGGCAGAGAAGGGGATATGTGTCCTTCTCATGAAGCATGAATACAGGACAATGATTTTCGTTAATATCCAATCATAAGTATATAAAAATATACTAACTTAAAATAAAATAAATTACAACTTGAGAATAAAATAAGAAATCAAGACATTCTCAGATGAAGGAAAACAAAATTTTTCATGAGGACTTAGTATTTAAAAAGAACTAAAGGAATTTTTCTAAATAAATAAAAATTGATTAGAGAATTGTGTATGTTTGTATGTGGGTGGGTATGTGTGTATTTGTGAATCTTCAAGTGTGAGGTGTAATTTATGAGGGGCTTTTTATAGTTATATGTAAAAATCTATGTGTCTACTATATATATATATATATACACATATGTATATTTTCTTATTTTTATTTCCCTCTTATATATTGAACTCTGACAGTCAAAAGATTTTATGTTTTTTAATCCAAATTTACAAAATCACAAAATTCTAAAGGTAATGTTTTCTGTGACAGTTTTAAAAGAAACTTATTCAGAAATTCTTGTATTTTCTCATTATCTTTTTATTTGATATTAAGTGATTGGTTTATTGGAATACTGTTTAGCCTAAAGTTTGAACAGGAATCTTTCTCCCCAGCTGAATGATCAGCTATTTTCTACAAATTATTATAGAGAATATCTATCTTCTTGATTGAAAACACATCTTTAAAATAAACAAGATCTCACAAATGAGAATGTTTATTACATACACACAGACTTCACATTCTCAATTTATCACTGCAGTTTATTCTACACTAGCATGTGTAGTTCTACTTTATTTATTACTATTTCATTGTGTGGAGGTATCACATTTAATCTGTAAAAATCTCTTGAAGAGTTAAGATATTTTAAGTATATTGTTCTTAAAAACTCTATTTGTATCTGAGGTGCACAAGTTTGAGCAAACCATGCTCTATATCATAGTAGGAATAGTTAATAAATTTCCTTTTGACCTCATAGCCTGTTCCTTCCTCACCATACCTGTGTTTATTAAGAATGTTTCTCTACATATGCGCTGGCAGAATGTGGATGTTAATGTTTAATATATGTATTATTTGATTACACAATTGCTGTTATGTTCTCCTAGGCTTTTTTTACTGTGCCAGTTATTCTCCAGTCTACAAATCTTTGGTCTTTTAGATAAGGGCAGATTTCTGTCACTACTCAAGTAAGAGTGAGCTCAAACTTTTTAAAACTCAGCAAAACAGGTGAGGACAAAAGAAGATGCTTTTCATTTTTCCAGCCACTCTTGGCCACCAACACCAGCCCAATATTTCTTACAGTGCTACAGATTCCTTAATATCAATGCAGTCAGTGTCTTCAACCTTTTTAATTCTATGTCCACGCATGAACCTTCCCCTCACAATGCCATTGTGTTAGAGCACAATATACCACTGAAATTTGGATTACATACTTGACATTTTTTGTTAGCATTCTTCACAGAATCATAACTAATGGTGTGATTCATTCGGATTCCAAAAACCTGAGAACCAAGAAATCAGATAGAATCAACTCCATCCTGTAGGCTAGAGGGGAAGTGAGGTGTTCAAACTGAAGCAATGAGCAGGGAAAAAAAGAATTGAACTCCTCATTTCTATTTCTTTTGTTCTTCTCAAGCCCTGAAGAATTGGATGGGGGCTGTGCACTAGGAGGCTGCCTGTTTTACAGACTCCTCTGATGTTAATTTTATCCAGAATACTCTTACATGCACATTCTAAAATAGTGTTAAATCTGGACAAATAGGGTTGATATAAACATCCTGCATTTCTTCTGCAACACTTATTGTTTATCTGATACTTTGTGTCCAAAGTGTTAGTTATTTAAAAAAAAAAATGTATTTGAATCTCTTTGTTTTCTTTAAAAACAAATCCTCGTGTAATTTGTAAAATTGAAATTCTAGATTCAGCTGTGATGAACTCACCTTTCATATTTTTGATTTGTTTGTGCATTCCAGGCTGTCTCTGGGAAAATTATTCTGTTTTCTTGTATTTTAGTGACCTTCTTTCCCAGAAGTTTTACCACACACACTATCAACAAAAGTTAAAATTTCTTGTAAGAATCCCGACTTTGATATTTCATAATCTTATTTTATTTTTTGAAATAACAAAGTGAAGCTGCATTTTATTTTCATGAAATTACCAAAAGTCAGGTTAAATTGGAAATTAAAAAAAATCTACTTTTTAGCTAATTCAGTTCCATGAACTTGTACATTTTGAGAAAAAATTGAAATGGCTAACGAAAATTACATTGGAAACAAGCTTCAAGTATGTTAACCTTTACTATATACATTATCACACAAACAAATTTGTAGACAAAACATTTTTTTTTTCAAAAGGAAGATACAATTTGCAGTGCTTAGCCCTAGGTTGGAATTCAGAATATTTAGTGTCTGTGTTTTTTTTCTGTCACAGTCTTGCTGTAAGACTCTGGCAAAGTCACTCTAAAATCCTTCAGCTTCTTTTCATGCTTGTGAGTAAAATAAAACTGTTTTCGCTCCATTCTTGACACTCAATACCTGATCCATGTTTTGATAGCATTAGTATCACCAGGGAGTTTGTTAGGAATGGAAAAATCCAGGCCCCTGACTTACTGAGTTTTCATCTGCAATTTAACAAGCTACCCAGGGCATTCATGTGTGATTTAAGTTTAGCATACACTGAGCTACATTAGTAGTTTTGATTAGGTGCTAGACAAAGTTCCACAAGTCTGTGAAACTTAATAGGCCTCTGCTGTGGGAAAGGTAAGGGCCTAATAGATACCATATACTGTTTCTAGGCTTCAGGTAAAACAGTTCCCTGTGTCTCTCTTTAACATTTTGTCTCTCCCCAAGATCTTCTCTGAAGACAGATTTCTACTTCTTACATATACCAGTGCCAAAAAAATAAAGCCTATGAAGTAATGAGAAAAGTATTATGACAAAGATGATCTCAGATAACTTTATTCTTCTGGGAAGTGCAGAGGTCACAAGACAAACTTTAGAATTGCTTAAAACTACATCTCTCTGAAAGACCATAGCTATGAAGTCAGTGAGAAATCATCCCCTTTCATAGGCCAGCTGGCAGTTTCCTTTGACTAAACATTCTACCATGAAGGACTGACGTCATTACTCTGGTATTCTCAAACTCCTGTACATTTCCTGGCATGACTTTTGAGCACAAGTTAATGCAGCTTAATTGTCCAGATCACCCTGGTTTTTGATGTTCCTCCCATTTTCCACCTCTTTCTCTCAAAACCCCAGGCTTTTATTTCTTTTATTTTCTGAAATTACATTAGTGAATTCCTTCTTAGGAAGCACTTTATTATATTAAATAGAGTGTAACGAAGTAATATGAATGATGATGAACAAAAGGAAAAGCATCTTCCTTGATTTTTGAACCAGGAAAGATCAAGAACTTCAAATGACAATTTGATTTTCTCTAAAAAGAAATTTCTTTTGTATTTCCCATTAAGCTTTCTAATTAATTTAGTAAAAGATTCTTGTAAACCCTAAAGACAGAACTCTTGGCAGTCTGAAAACTACCCTTGTCTTCCCATGGGAGATATAATTCAATTACTTTATGTAATGCTTTCTAATAAATCATTCCATATATATATCCAGCCACAGGACAGAGAGGGAAACAACATTGTTTCTATGCCACTCCCTATGGAATTCTGCATTTACATTCTGTAAAAATTACTGTAGGACCTTCAGGAAGTCTGCAAAGTGCCCTTGCATTTTCAGCAAAGGTAGAACAAATATCAGAATGGCATCTATGACAATATATATTAAGTTCTATCATTCAGGTGAGTGAGAAAGGTAACCATCTGGGTCTCAGGCATGACTTGAGTTTTATACTCAAGAGCACAATCCATTTCTTATTGAAAATGACACTAATTAAACTTTCAGGTAATTTTCACAAATCTTTAATTTTCCATTGGGTACATAATATGAATGTAATCTTTATTGTTAACACCTATTAAAAATCACTAAATATTTACAAACATAGGTATCAATTGATGACAGATTTAGAAAATTATAAGCTTTCAAGGTAAAAAGCTAAGAAAGCATTTCATGTTTATATAAACATATAATTATCCCTCAGGATGTAATAACTTAAGACCCTAGTGTACAAATGACTCAAGTTTGTGCATGTTCTTTGAGAAATTGTGTCAACATCACATTGAGGGTTCTTTTTAAACAGTTTTATTAATGATGTCATAACTTACCATAAAGTGTTTCTCAGAAATGTAGATCCAAATCATTTAAGTTGATATTATATTAGAAAATGCTGTCATATCATGTTTATGATGTAAGCTTTCTATAATGTTAGTACATATACAACCTAAAAATAAAAAAGCATATAGTATGGTATGATAGAAAATAAGTATTCAGAGAAATACATTTTCTATCCAAGGCAAAGGCAAAATGACTGCAATAGGGACTGACAAGTTTGGCCCCCAGAAATGAAACGGAAGAAATGAAGGAAGGCATGTACTGAACAGCTACTATGTGCTGGTCACAGTATCAGTTTGCTTTCTTTGCATTCTTTATTTAACTCTCTCAGCAACCTGTGTGAGGTTGGTAACTTTATCACCATCTAACAAATAATATACTTATAATAAATAGGATGTCATTGTTGAATAAATAAGACAACTTTAAAAATACTTTGAAACCTAAATGTAACAAAAAACTATTATCCAGATATCTCTGTTATCACAGAATTTCTGTGCTTCTAAGATCATAGGTATTAGAAAAACTTGACGTAAGTTTGGATTAATGTGTTGGAAAACGAAAGATTACAATTGGGCCTGGTGACATGGCTCAATTGGTAGAGTGCTTGCCGCACATGTACAAGGCCCTTGTTTCAATCCCCAGGACCACACATACACAAAATATTATAATTACTATTATAAATGTTTTAGATTTATTAGAGGGACATAAGACAATTGTGAGATATCTGATTTCATGATGTGATCAAACCTACATAATTCCTTTGATAGTTAATGGATATCCTATTAAATCATGTCCCTGGAAAGTAGAGTTAAATTGGGGCTGATTGTGGCAAACTGGGACATACCATGAATACTAAGGGCAGTGATCCCTGGTATTATCTATAGAGGAAATTTGCTATATCATTTTCATTAGGAGGAGGAAGAGTTGTCTAGTAGGGTACATATTTTAATAAGGCCTGATAGTTTCTTTTTTTGAAAAGTCAACAATGGAACATTTGACAGAAAATTTCTGGTAATCAAAAGTAAAAATCCTTTATCACTATAAATATATTTTGTTTCTTGAAAGAAAGAAATATATCAGCTTGCAGATTGGTTCCTTAAAATGGTTTTAAATAAGCATAATTTTAATAAAGCAGTCTTATCATTAATAATCAATTTTTTTCTCTGTTTCCTAATGTAGGACTGCACATCAATTCCTTGTATGAATGGAGGCTTCTGTCAGAAGTTGGTACATGGATTTATTTGTATTTGCCCACATGGATACACTGGTACACACTGTGAAAAAATCATCGATAGTTGTCCTGAGCCTGATCTGAATTTGGTCCTCTGTCTGAATGGAGGAATTTGTGTTGATGAACCTGGACCCACTTTTAAATGCAGGTCAGCTTTTATTATTTTCAGAATTAACTAAATATGTATATGTTTAAGAGTGTACCTTGAAACATGGGTATTAAGTTTACAATAAGTTTTCATCTTAAATATATAATCACAAGTTTTGAAATCAATGTTTACCAAAAGGCATTAATATATTTTCCAAATTCTATTTATTCATGTCAATGCCAGGTTTCTTATTTCCCAGTTTAATCTCATTTTAAAAATAAATGTTTCATATCTCTTCTCTTTCTTGGAAATGGGTTATTAATTTATAAATGTTTCACATTTATACCATAATGTTTAGCCAGAGATTTCTTTCTGTTACAAAAATATCTATTTTCTAAGACTGGAAGGAGATACTAAAATTTTTGAGTTATAAAGGCAAGTTCATGTATCACTGCATTTTATTTATTTAGTTATTTATTTAGTTATTTATTTAGTTATTTATTTAGTTAGTTAGTTGTAATTGGACACAATATTTTATTTTTATGTGGTGCTGAGGATGGAACCCAGGGCCTCACACATGCTAGGCGAGCGCTTTACCGCTGAGCAACAATCTCAGCCCCTATCACTGCATTTTTGAATGAATTATTATTTAAAAAATAATTGGAGATGAATTTTAGTTTTCTTAGCTTTATGATCATATAATGTATGAGATTGGTCTTTTAAGAATTTAGCTATCTGTTCAATTATAATAACTGAATTGAACCCAAGTATTAGGAAAAAATACATACTTTACCTCTATTTTTTCCACTTCAATCTAATGTGTGATAGGCTGATATTAAGTTAAAATCTGTGAACAGCTGTGTTTCCATCACAGTATCTTAAATTGTTGACAGTTTTACCATGTATAATTTAGTAGTAATAGTTTACTAGTAAAGCACATCTGTTATTTTTGTATTGCATCAGTTATTTATCCTTCAGAAAATGTATTCTGTGTTATATTAAATAGTGCCATTACCCTATTTCTTTGTTCAATTCTAGGGCATATTTTGCCCATTTATTTATTTTAATCCCTGCTGTAGCTTTTTTTTAATCTCTCATAAAGCACATAGGTAAAAAAATTCTGCATAAACTCAAGACTACTAACATTTCATATAGCATATGCAGAACATGTTTATCACTAAAAAATTATTATTAATATGTGTTGCCTAACATGCCATCTTCATTTGGTATACATCCACACATATGTACACACACACAGGGGTACACACCTGTGTGTGTGTGTATATGTATATGTGTGTGATATTTATAATCCTTCTGTCTCTCATGTATCTTGTTGTTTTAAACATATATGTTTTGTTGATTGTACTTTGGTAGTTTGATAAAATGTAGAATACATTTTTAATACAAATGGATATTGTATAGATTTACAAAAATTGTATAGATTTATAAAAATGACAATTGCAAGGGTCCTCAGGATTATAACCTAGAAAGTGTCTGGATTAAGTAAACAAAAGCAAAACAAATATTCATCCTAATGAATGCAATTTTATAAATCAGGTTTCATCCATGGAAATCTAATTTGTTCGAATAAAAATAAGCTCATAGATTTTTATAAATATTTCTTTTCGGGAAATATTATCTATGGATTACCTAGGCTGACCTTTCTTAAAATATGGATCCAGTGGAATTCAGACTGCTTCTCTTCCTGGCACATCTCCCAGGGACAAGCATAGACATTCATTACACTACAAGGTTATTCAAATTGCATTTAAATTAGAGTCATCTGTCTCCAAAAATTTCACTGTTGATTCAATGTGTCTGAAGGCCCCTGAAAGACTGTGAATGGCACTGCCCGGGAGGTGCAGCTTCTACAGGGACTTTCATACTGCACTGTGCAGAGTCATCAGGGTGCAAAGCAAACACTGTCCTTACTTTATTCCAGAAAAAACTCAGACATTCTGGGAAGGAGTGTTTTACAAGTTAAATCACTAGATGTTTAGATGTGTTAAAGGTTATTCAGCTATGTTTACTTAAAGTCATAATAAGATAATAAGTTTTCCTTTACTTAAAAAATGAAAATGCACTTTGCATTTGGAGTCCTATTTTGCATTCTACAAATGGAATCAAAAAGAAAGATCTCATTCTTAAAAATCTGGGAAAACATTTTGTTACTATCTTTGCATCCTAATTTTGCTTCAAAATTTATACAGATCATAATTACATATGATATTCCTATTCTTAATGCTGATTTATTAATTATTTAACTTGCTAAGGTTTGGTTACCTTCTACTGGAAAAATAACTATCCAAACAAAACTTTAAATGTTCAGGTTTTTATTCTGGTACTTATTTTGATGAAAACTATTATATTAAAATATTTAAGCTCTCAATTATATGTGTAATATTCTATAGGACTGGTTTCTTACCAACAATTTTTAGGAAGACCAGTTTTCTTCCAGCGTAAATCTTATGATAAATCACATTTTAAAAGAAAAAAAGATTGAGATACACCACCCCCTAAAATTTCCTAGCATTTCTGTGTTGCTGGCTTTGAGTATTAATTACAATGTGGTGAAGTGCACATTTCTTAGATCTTTGAAGTTTATACAGTAGCTGTGAATATTTTGTTTTAATCTCCATTATTGCAGAAAATAAAGCAGGGTCTATTTTCAAAAATGTTATATATTTTGAATTCATTTGATTGACTTTTTCATGGAAACTGACATGACTTTTATTTCTTTAATAAAAAAATATAGGAAATATTTTAAATGATTGCCAAATAGAGAACTTAAAATTTACATCCCTGGGCTGGGGATGTGGCTCAAGCGGTAGTGCGCTTGCCTGGCATGCATGCGGCCCAGGTTCAATGCTCAGCACCACATACAAACAGAGATGTTGTGTCTGCCGAAAACTAAAAAATAAATGTTAAAATTCTCTCTCTCTCTCTCTCTCTCTCTCTCTCACTCTCTCTCTCACTCTCTCTCTTTAAAAAAATTTACATCCCTTCAGTTGTTTCATCTTTGAAATTTAAAGTGTTTAATCAAAATATGTGAAAATTATATATTTATTTTATTTATTTCTTTAAGTCTGGAAAATTTTGAAAACAATTCTTTTACTTTATTATTTTAAAATTGATTCATTCATTCTACATTCTACTCTGAGGACAATCATTACTTCCACCTTGTGTATCACATACTTAAAACTGTCCTTCATGAAATTCACTTTTGTTCCATATTTATGACATTTTCATTCCTCTAAATTCTTAATTTCTCAAACTTTTATTCAATACCCTGAACTTCCTATCCTAAAGAATAGTTATCCTTTTACTTTTCAATTTTGATAAGCTTTTAAATAATGTCGTTCTAGAGTAACTTAACAAGACATATTCTAATCTTCTGCTTACAAACTAGTTTTTTAAGAGTTCAGTTTTTTTTTTAAGTTCTTGTCAGTGGGTTTATCTTTTTTTGTTACAGAATTGTGTAAGTTGACACTGAATCTCAGTTACTACCATTTTTTTATGCCTGCCTTATTAATCTTTGCTGTTACCCTGATCTCATAATACCCCTCTTGTGCTCTAATGCCATTGGTTAGACTCCGTTGAGTTACCTCTGTGTCTACAAGACACTTTTAAATAATAAGCCTGACCTATTAAGTGATGGGTCACATGCATGCATTAGTGCAGAGGCACACCTGAGAAAGCCGATTTTCACTCCATGGGTTTTGGCTACTGAAATCTAGGTTGAAATTGCTAAGCAGTACAGTCCACTGGAATATCTTCCTTCTACAATGAAAATTGACCTTCTAGGTTACGGGCACATCAGATTCATAGTTTGATAATTTATGGTTTTCTCATGAAAATATTTTATTATCTTTCTTTGATTATTGTGTGACTGTAACGGTGGTACATAATGAGAAGATCTAGTGTTCAGTTTTCTTTCTTTCTTTTTTTAAATCTTCCTGAAGCAGTAGCTAAATTCTGAAAAATATGGTAGTTTCTATAAGTGAAAAGGAAAGGAAGGGAAGGGAATTAGCTGGTTAAGCCTGAATATATGGAATGTAATATTGATGACTGTAAAATGAATGAACCACTGACATATAGTTAGTTTCCCTATTAGAGTAGAAAATGTAAATACTAAAATAAACATTAACTATTTCAAGCAAAGCAAGTTACAATAAAAAACAGTTACTAAAATGCTAGGTATATATTACCACATAACCTTCAAATAAGTTTACAGCTGTACTTCAGATGATTTCTGGAGAAATTAAAGGATGTTTTAAAACTGATTTAATTTTAGTAATGCTTTAGGCAACCCAAACTCGTGTGGTTTAATGGTCTAGTGAAGAAATATCAATTTAACAATATGCATGCTTAAAATATAAAAAATGAACTCGATTGATGACGGTGAGATTTTTGAAGTCTTTACCATTCATAGATTTTATTTGTTTAAAATACTTGAAGGGCTTGAGGGGTATAGATCCACGGTAAAGCACTTGCCTAGCATGTAGGAAGCCATGGGTTCCACCACAGTGTCTTTAAAAAATTACAAATTTTATAAATAATGAGAAGGGGGAAGCTTGGATTTCTGAACACAAAGTAATGATGAGAAGATGAAAATGTTAATTACCCAATTTGATAAGTACATGTAGTGTGGTCTGAAATACGTAACAAATACAATATATGTAACAAAATTTATATTTGTTCATAAAATTTTTAGAAAATTAAAGACAATAATATTTGATAATTTCATCCCTAGTTGTAACCCAAATGTATGTTTCTTGTTGACTTACTGACCTTTATAGCTGAATGAAATAGAGATTACCTCTAGTAACCTAGATATTGCATAGATGAGAAACCAAACACCAAAGGAGGCTGTACTCTGTCAAACACCTAAACAGAAGCCAGAGTCACTGGGAGAGTTAGTATTCGAATTCAGTGCCTTGCTTATTTATTTCCCTTATAGTACTTTTGATTTAAAATAAAAAGAAGTGTATGCATCGTAAGAAAAGAGAAGCACAAACAGACATCAGGACTATTCTCTTCTAGATGCTGTTAAACATCTATTCTTGTACTTTATATCCCAGTGCAAAGTTTAAAGACATTAATGACTTTGTTCAGTTTAATAATAGCTGCTTTCAGAAGTCCATAAGTATTATTAACCATGTGTAACACTTTAATAGCATTTTAATGCATGCAAGTTTTATTAAACCATAAAAACTATGTTGAAATTACACTAAAATCCAAATTAGACTCACTTAGCAGAGGACTATAGAAATAAGTA